AGTGAAATTAGAAAATATTTTGTACTTGATCATATAAATAAAACATATCAATATTTGTGAGACGCAGCTAAAAAGGCTTAGAGGTAAAAATATAGCTTTAAATGATTATATTAGAAAAGACTAAATGTATAAAATCAATGACCTAAGGTTCTACCTTAGGGAACTAGAAAAATGAGAATGAACTAAACCAAAAGTATGTAAAAATAAGAGAATAATGAAGATAAGAACATAAATCAAAAAAATAGAAACAATGGAGAGAATTAACAAAGCAATAAGGTGGCTCTTTGAAATGACCAACAAAATCAATAAACTCTTAGCTAGTCTAAATGAGAAGAAAGAGAGCAAAAATTACCAATACTAAGAATCTGATATCACTATAATGCCTATAGATATTACAAAAATAATAAGAAAATATTATGAATGACTTTGTGACTACAAATTTGACAACTTAGATAAAATGTACAGATTTCTTGAAAGAACTACTAAAGAGGAAACAGAAAATCTTACTAGCTCTGTATCTATGGAAAAAATCGAATTTAATATCCAAAACCTTCCCATAAAATAAACTCCATTCCCAGACAGTTTCCCGGGTAAATTCTAGCAAACATTTAGGGTGGAAATAGCACTAATATTACACAAACTCTTTGGTAAACCAGAGTTTTACAAAATCGGTATAATACCAAAATGTGACAAACTCATTGCAAAAAAAAGAAAATTGCGGACCTATATCACCCTTGAACCTAGATGCAAAATTTCTCAACATGATATTACTAAGCTGAAACCAGCTATGCATATGTGTCAATTACCAATTTATTGTTTCTCAGTTCCAAATGCATCCTTACATATATGTTCTCGATATAAAAATTCTTTTAAGCATTTCTCCTTTATAGCGAGCACAATATTAAACTTTCTCAGTAGAGGGTGCTGGAGGGACACTACAAGAGAAGGAGGTTCTCTTGTTTCTGGCCCTGGCCAGGGCTCTCTGCTGTGTGGGTGTGAGGATAACAGGCAGCTCCAGCCCTCGGAGCCCAGGACTTGGTCCCTATGCGACCTTGCAGCCTGGTGATAAACTTTCCACAACTCTCTCGACATGGTAAACCAGAGCCCTTGCACGGCCTGCGTGCAGCCGCGTGTCTAGACTCCCTGGGCAAGCCCCTGCATGACCTGCATGCAATCTCCTGTGTTCTGTGGAGTCACACACTAAACAGTCATTCTGCAAACTCCCATCCCTTACTCCCAACTCGTGTAATCTATGTGCTCTTAAGTCTTCCTGCTTTCACTGGCACCCAGACTTCCTTTGCACACTCACACTACCAGTTGCTGATTGCCTGCTCCCCTGCCTGCACTCTGGGAGGGTGGCCTATTGTTTGCTCAGCAACTCTAGATCAGCTCCTGCCTGGCAAAACCAGTAAACTTCTCTGATATCAGGTGGCTGAACACTCTTTCTTGGAGGTCTGAACCCCTTCCAGGTTTATTCTTCCTTGGATATTCCCTCAGCCCTAGGGTACTATACTGAATTTCTTTATATCTTATAGTTACTCTTTTATCATAGCTCATTATTCTTTCTATTAAATATTCCCTGTTTAACCTACTGTGTGGTATCTATCTCTTGACTGGATCCACACTATTACCATACACATGCACACACACATAAGTATATGTGTGTGTGCATGTACAGTAATAAATCATGACCAAGTACAGTTTATCTTAGGAGTGCCAGGTTGGTTTAACATTTGAAAATAAATCTATGTAACTTACCATATTAGTAGAAGAAGTAGTAGAAGTAGAAGTAGAAGAAAAATCACATGATTATTTTAATCGATAAATGAAGATAAAGCATTTATCAAAATGCAATACGCATTCACGATTAAAAAAAAAAACTCTCAGTAAACTTGGAAGGGAAATTCCTCAAACTAATAAAAGACATCACCAAGCCCCTTACAGCTAACATCATACATGGAAAATACCGAACACTTTCATCCTAAGGATGTCTACTCTCACCACTCTTATTTAACATAATACTGGAGGTGCTAGCCAGTGCAATAACACAAAAAACCAACCAAACCAAGCAAAACAACATAAGCTATATATAGATTAGAAAGAAAGAAATAAAACTGTCCCTACAACATAATTGTCCATATAGAAAATCCCAAGAAACCTAAAAAATAAAAACTTCTTAGAACAATGAATGACTTTAGCAAGGCTATAGAATAAAATGCTAATTTAAAAAGAAATCAATTGTTTTTACATAATGGCAGCAAACAATTAGAAAATAAAATTTCATTTTATAATACCATAAAAACATACATACTTAGGAATAAAATTAACAAAAGATATACAAGATCTGTATCTTCTATACTACAAAACTCTGCTGAAAGAAATCAAAGAAGACCTGAATAAATAGATAGTTCAAGTTCATGGATTGGAAGACTCAAAACTGTTAGTTTATTGATTCTTACCAAAATGATCCATAGATTCAAAGCAATCCCAATAACAATCCTAACAGGCTTTTTCCTAAAAAACTGACAAGCTTATTTTAAAATATATATGGAAATATAAAGAATCTAGAACAGGGGTTGGCAAACTATGGTCTGTGGGCCAAATCCAGCCCACCGCCTGTTTCTGTAAGTGTTTTATTGGAACATAGCTATATCCATTCATTTATATATTACCTATGGCTGCTGTTGTGCTTCCACAGTATTGAGCAGTTGCAGTAGAAACCATATGGCCCACAAAGCCTAAAATATTTACTATCTGGCCCTTTACAGAGAAGTTTGTAGACCTCTGAACTAGAATATCCTAAATAATCTTGAAAAAGAACAAAGTTGACAAACATATTATATGACATCAAGAATTACTGTTAACCTGCAGTAGCTAAGACAACGTGGAACTGTCATAAGGATCCACAAATAGATAATGGAACCAAATAGAGAGCCCAGAAACAAACCCACATTTATATGGTCATTTGATTTTTGACAGAGTTGTAAAGGCAATCCAATGGGGGAAAGGAAGGTATTTTCAACAAATGGTGCTATAACACCTAGATATCCATATGTAAAAAATATGAACTTCTACCCTTACCTTACAACATAGAAAAAATTAATTTGAGATAGATCACAGACTTAAATGTGAAAGATAAAACCATAACACCTTTAGAAAACACAGGAGAATATCACCATGTCATGGGGGTAGTCAAAGATTTCTTATACATGTCGCAGACACAACTACCATTAAAGAAAAAACTGATGAATTACATTTCATTAAAAGTAAAACTTTCTGTTCATCAAAAGACACTGTTAAAAAAATAAATAGGTAAGCCACAGACTAGAAGATAATATTCCTACAACATATATCAGGTAAGAACTGGTGACCAGGGTATATAAAGAACTCCTACAACTCAATAATGAAAAGGCAATCCAATGAAAAAATGGGTCAAAGATTTAACTAAATACTTCACAAATAAGATATATGAATGGCAAATAAACACATGGAAAGATACTCAACACCATCAGTCATAAAATGATGCAAATTAAAACCCCAGGAATATATCCACGTAATGGTTAAAATTAATAAGACTGACAACACCAAGTACTGACAAGGCTGTGGAGCAGCTACAACTCTCATACATTGTTGACAATAGTGTAAAATGGAACAACCATTTTAGTAAAAGTTCTTCAGTTTCTTATGAAACTAAATACTCATGTACTCTATGACCCAGAAGTTCCACTGTTAGGTATTTACCTGAGTGGAATGAAAACACATATCTACAAAAATACTTTTACATAAACATTCATGGCAGCTTTATTCATAATAATCCCAAAATGGAAACAGCCCAGGTGTTTATTCATAAAAGAATGGGTTTATTCTATGGTATGAATTTCTACAACAGGTAAAACTAATCTATGGTGGTAAAATATCAAAACAGTGGTTTCCTCTGGGGTGTGTGCGCAGGGGTGGACTGTGAAGGTGACTTTCTGTAGTGATGGTAATATTCTCTATATATAGGGGTTTGGGTTACATACGTGTATGCATTTGTCAAAACTTAGCAAGGGTATATTTAATATTTTTTAACATCATTGTATGTAAATTTTATCTCAAAATAAAAAATCTGTAGACAAATATTGAACTCTACTTAAGGATATAAATGTTGAAGTATTTTAGGGGGATATGTACTCGTATCTGTAATGTAGTTTGAAATGTATCAAAAAAAGATGAATTGACAGATGGATACAGGGATAGATAGGTAATAGAGCAAGTATAGTAATATCTTAATAGTAGAATCTAGGTAGTAGGTCTATGGGGTTTCCCTGTAAATGCTTTCAGCTTTTTTATATGTTTAAAAATGTTCATAATAAAATGCTGGAAAAAATATTGAGCACCTACTCATTGTTCTAGGCAATGGGGATACAAGAGATGACGGAGAGAGAGTTTCCCAGAGGAGTTTATCCAAGGGAAGTGAATTAGTATTTATGTAGTCCCTAAAATCCAGGGATAAAGGCAAGGGCAAGAATTTATTTTTTATCTTCACAACAAGTGGGTATAGGAAGAGGAGGCTTGAAATGAGTGGATTTGATGAGCTCAGTTTTAAATATGATGTGCTTTATGATCCTACAAGATATCTAAGTGAAGATATCTAGTAGACTATTGGATATACAGGTCAGATTTGCATAAATCTGGGCTACAGACAAATGTGGTCATCATGCCTTTGGGGACTGTTTGGTCACTGAGCACAATTTAATAACTCTTTTTGATTTTAATAGTGTTTTCATTTTTAAATACTACCTCAAATATCTGCCCCTCGAAAATCTAGTATTCCTTGCCTGTTGGGCTATTTATTATTCCATGGGAATTATAATAAGAATAGAAATTGTACTAATAAAAAGGTATAGAATAGGAAGATTAAAATGTGGCAGATATAAGGATTTTAGGGATTTTCATTATATTAGAAGGCTAACATTTAGTAAATATATTACATTGGGGGATAGTTCTTTGGTACTCACCTGATCAAATAGAGCTCTTTATTCCATGGGTAGATATTTAAGACTGGCCCAACCCCAATCATGTGGTTGTGACATTCTCCAACATTTTCAATATATTCATGCTTCAATGGCACTTTGCTGAGGAGTTCAAATTCCTCAGGCGCCTTTTGAAGTACCTGTTCTGCTGCATAGAATCCATCTACTAGCAGTGTCCTGCCACCTGTTCCTTCATGCTTAAGACAGTGAAACACTTGAATGCTAAAGAGGGAAAAAAATTAAATTCTTCTGTTCAGTGGAGAAAAGAGAACATATCAAATTTTTAGAAAATTGTATACGAAATGATTACTGAGTCTACTTGTGCATTTTATTTTTATGAAGAAATAAATCTCATTTCCTAATTGTTTTCCCCTCATAGCTAGTTGCACTATTTTTGTGCTTTGAAATATTAATGCCACTACAGGTTTCTTCTAAACATACTCAACACATATTAAAGCCTATATGTGCTAGACCCTGGGAATATAGGCATCAGTGAGTAAGACACAGTCTCTGTTTTAAAGAAGCCCATAGTCTAGTAAAAAGAGATGAAGCAAATAAGTACCAATAAAATATGATAGGCACTATAATAGAGTTTATACAAGATATAGGGGGGCCATACAGAAAGGAAATTATTCTAGTGGGGTGTTGTATAAAGAAATGTGTTGGAGATGGATGAGATTGAGGTGAGGAGACGGCATTCCAGGCAGATGTGTAATTGGATGACAATGAGGAGGTGTGAGAGATTGAGGAAGAAGTTCATCCTAGGAACATGTTGAAATAGTTGAGTTACATATGCCTGAAAATGTTAACAGAGAAAGGAAAGGTGACTATTAATGGACTAGAAAACTGAAGTAGAATGTTCAAATGAACAAGGGGAAAATAAAATTAATAGTAATTTAGAAAAAATGCAAAAATAAGGAAAAGTAAACAACAAACTAAAATAAGTAATAAACAAATAAAAATGGAAGGCATAAAATCAAGGAGAACCTAATATAAAGACAATTAAAATGAGAAAGGTCACTTCTGGCCATGTTGAGCTTTCTGTGAAACTTCTAGGTCAGGATTACCTAGTAGCAAAATGAAGATGTTTAACTCAGAAGAGAGGTAGATTTTGTAGTTGTCTGTAGATGATAGCTGAAGCCAAGAGCATGGAAGAAGTCATTTGGAGAGATCATTTCAAGTAAGAAAAGAGGGACAAGGAGAAAACCTTTAGGAAGAACATGGACAGAGGAAAATAAGCCAGCACAGGAGGCTGAGGAAAAGTGGTCAGAGATAGGAGGAAAACTAGAAAAGAAGAGATATTTAAGAAGAGGTAGTGGTTAACGGCATGCCCCAGAGGTCAAGTAAGATGAAGACTGAAAGGTATACACTGGGTATGGCAACTAAGTTAGTTGCTGGTGACTTTGGAGAGAGTAATTTTAATTGGGAGGGGGCTGGATAAACTAGCTGACTATGGGTTTGAGGAGTGAATGGGAAGTGAGAATGAAAATATACTGACTGTAGATAATTCTATTAATAATTCCCCTTTGGCTGTGAAGGGGAAGAGTAAGGTAAGGCTGTAACTAGAGGGAGATAGAGTCCAAGGAAGTGTACAAAAGTAGAGATTTAAGATATGAGAAGCTGATAGGAAGGAGTCAATAGGTATGAAAAGGCTGAAGATATAAGAGAGAAAAATCCCCAAGGGGCCTGAAAAGGATGAGATCCAGAGCAAGGTAGCTTTAGAAAGGACAAGGCATATAACAATGATGATGATGACGATGATAATGGATAAAATGATAATAATAGGTAGTATTTATCAAACACTTAACATGTCAGGCAGTATGCCACGTGCTATAAATACATCATGTAATTTAATACCTAGGCAATACTAATGGATAAGCTGTATTACTAGTCCTAACTTACAGACGAACAGTTACAGAGAGGTTAAGTTACTTCTTCAAGATCACAAAGCTAATAAATGTTCCAGCTGGGATGCAAATCCAGGTCTGGCTGATGCCATAGCCTGAACTCTTAACCACTCTTACTGTACTGCTAGTGTACTTGGTCATTGCCATTGATTAGAAAGGGTTAAATTAAATGCACAGACAACTGCTTATCTCTGGTAGTGGTCAGAGAGAAGACCTAGTCAATATTTGAACCTCAATCCCTGTCCAGCTGCTTTTCATCCCATTTCCTCTTTCTTCCTTCTGCATCCCCTAGAATGAGGATCCAGGGCTGTTGGTCTCTTCATATATCAGTAACATTGAGCAGGATCTCTAAAAGCTGTTTTATTCTTCCCCCCCGAACCAAACATTCTTAAGTTCCAAACCCTTAAAGGAAATCAATGTAACCACAATCAATTGTGTATTATCACTCTCTCATATTGTCTTTATAAATCCATACATATACTCACTTTACTAATATCTTTGTGCCTTGGGCTCATCACCTGCATGCAGAAGCAAGATGAATAACAACAACAACAACAACAACATAACAATCACAGAGGTACCTCTAATAAGTGGCAAATGGCAGGAAAGTTAAGTATGGTATCCATTACGTCACATAATTACCATTTCTTTTTTGTGATGAGAACATTTAAGATCTACTCTCTGTTGGCTATGATGGTAATCATATTGCAATATATAACTGTATCAAATCAACACATTGTACACCTTAAATTTACACAATGTTATATGTCAATTATATCTCAATAAAGCTGGAACAAAAGTATGGTATATATCATCTTTGGCTCAATAGCTTCTGATTCCATGTGAAGAAGGTTATTTTTATTCATTCCGCCTCTCCAACTTCTTGTAAATTGGATTCAAATTCCTCTTAATACCATACCCAAAGCAGCTGTGTTTGGAAGATTGACCTCTTTGCAATATAATAACTAAATATAAGAAAATTGTACAAATTCGAAAACTGATGATTAGTCAATACTTTTTTTGGTAAGTTATTTGTAATTACTTTGAGAAAAAATGTAAATAAAAAAAATTAAGATCTATTTATGTAGTAAGGTACATTTTCAATCATTTCAAAAAATGTTATTCCTATAAGTCTAAAGAAGACTGAGCTAGGATATTTGAAAATGATCATATTTCTAGAAGAGAAAGTCATACATATCATCATCAGCAGATATGATCTTGAGTCAAATAGAATGGAAAACGATTAAGAAACTATTCAAGACCATTATATGTAAAGAGTCCAAGGAAGTGTACAAAAGTAGAGATTTAAGATATAGCTGATAGGAAGGAGTCAACAGGTAGGGAAGGGCTAAAGATGTGGAAATTTTCCACTCTGGAAAATTCTAATCCACCTACCCACAGGGCTCTTGAAAATAGGTAGTGTCAGTGTGTCGATCCAGAGCTAGCTTGGTGTATGCAGTGTCACCCCTGGAGAAGTCTGAAGTGAAATACCACATCCTCCCATAGATGGTTTCTCTGTCAAATGAAATATAGGAAGACTGTTGAGCTATTTGAAATTTTCATTCTTGTCTTTCAAAACTCTTTCCAACACTTTCTTTAATTATTCACAAATAGCAATAGGATAGTTTATATTAGCAAGTATTTAGTGAGACTTGCTGTATCACTGTTGTTGTCTCTCTCCTTGAGATGTACATCATAGGTTTTAATTTTTTAGTTATTTTTCTGGTAGGCTCAGATCTGACTAAAGGTTTCACTTTAATTCTTCAGCTTTCAGAGTTCATCTTATTCTCTGAACCCTCCAAGTCCAAACAGGAAATGTTCTTCCTCTTGAACTATAATCTCTAAAGCCCTCTCAATTTATTGTTTATCAGCACGGCTTCTTTTAACTGAAAGTTCTCAAACTGTGTTTCAAACTGAATGGTTCACAAATGTTAATTACAGTCTACTAGGATACAGCAAATGACCCAGCATACTATCTGCTATACAATGAGCTATATCTGGCTATTAAGTAAAAGGAAAGCACTAATTATAAGAAAGTAGGTTTACATTACATTTAATACTATGGAAGATCAATCTATATACTACCTAGAAATGCAGACTGACAAGTGGAAAGAACACTGTATTTAGGATCAGGAAACCTGAGCTATCTGAATCCCAGTTCTATTGCTTACTAGCACAGCAATCCTGGGCAAGCCACTTAATGTATCTGAGCCTCAAGTGCCTCATCAGTAGAACAGAGGATTAAATACACCTTATCAGGATTTCTATAATGACCAAAATAAAATAATGAGTGTGAATATGCTGGCTAAATGCTATCTAGTGTAAAGCAGTATTATTAACAATCAGTCTCTGAATCAAGCCTTAGAAATCACAGAAGGTCAAAACTGGATGATCTTTAGACACCATCTTATTCAATCCTCTTATTGATCAGATGGGAAAATAGAGGCCACTTGTGGTGGGGGGTGTTGTTGAGGGTAGGGAGTTGTGTAATGGAGTTGCCTATGTTCACACAACTGCTTGATGGTAGAATTCAGACTATTACCTGGTTTTCTTTACTCACAGTTAGTGCTCTTTCTAGTGTATAATGATACATCTCACTTTGAGGATCGCTGGGCTTCAAAGATATACCAATGACTTTGAAGACTTCATTGTATTTAACATGTAAGTATCTTTAGAGATTACAAATCCAGCCCTAAATAAAGCACTATAAATGGGAATCCCCTTATTCAGGCCACAAAATATTCTGTATTAAAAACAAGGGTGACCATACCTGTTATATTACTTTATTGGTGTTCCTGCTTTGGAAATTAATTACTGTAGATATCGGGAAATTAATGAATTACCTGATCAAGCTGATCCTTTCTGCCAATTTCTCTGTGTGCTCTTGAGTGGGAGGGACATTTTCTACAAATGCAATTCCATAGAGCAGAAAGTTCTGCAGAAAGTTCTTCAGTCCCTCATTGGTTTCTAAGAAGCTCTGGAAATCTACAGATGGAACTTGGGCTTGCTGGTAGATTTCAGCATTCCATAAAATTCTAGGCTGAATGACCTTTTGTTTCTGCCCTTCGTAGCTGTTTTTCACTAGCCAATCCAAATCATATCTAGTCACATGACCATCTGGCCCTTTTAAGGGAAAGATAAAAGGCATTAAAAATAATAATTATAAATACTACCAATAATTTACTGGTTAAGAATGTTATTTTTAGGGCCGGCCCCATGGCTTGGTGGTTAAGTGAGCGCGCTCCGATGCTGGTGGCCCGGGTTCGGATCCCGGGTGCGCACCGAGGCACCACTTCTCTGTCCATCCTGAGGCCGAGTCCCACATACAGCAACTAGAAGGATGTGCAGCTGTGGCATACAACTGTCTACTGGGGCTTTGGGGGGAAAAATAAATAATAATAAATAAAATCTTAAAAAAAAAAAAAAAAGAATGTTATTTTTAGCAACCAATTACCCAGTGCTGTATTGTTTATGAAACCAAATTAAAATGAGTGCCTACAGTGTTCCTGAGACAGAAATATTTGTGGGTTGAGTAGTATGAATTAACAAGTGAATGAATGAACAAATAAATCTTCCCAGCAGGTAACTAAGTTTATGGAATTATAGCTACATAGTAAAGTGCCTCTGGAGCATTCATCAAGTCATCAAAAAAGGATAAGAAAATATCAGTTGCTTTTAGGCCTACTCCCCTCTCTCTCTTCTTGCCCCCATCCCCACTTCTCATCTACACACAACTTTTTGAGCTAGAAGAGACTAATCTTTATTTTACTAATGGAGAAAAAGTCAGTTAGTGATTCATTCAAGGTTACACAGCTAATAAGTTGGAACTAGAACTCTAGCCTCTTGCTTCCAGCAGTTCAGTACCATACTATGCTGCCTTCCTCTTCTAAATGAATTAGGGCAGTTTGGTCTAATGATATGACATCAATACAGTATGATAAAGTGACTTCATAAGTGACTTTGCCCACTGCCCCCCCCCAAAAAAAGTAAAAGAACAGCCCCAAAAATGCTTCGGAAAATCTTCAGTATAAGCAAAGGATACAGCAAGACGAGTGAAAGGCTATGCTGGCATCTTACATCTCCTTTTTACTTCTTTCTACCTCTCTGTCTCTGTTTCTCTCTCTCTCTCGGCTTCCCACCCCTTGATAATAAAAGTATCATAAAAAAATCACCTATAATTATTCTACCACCCAGATGAAGCCACTATTAACAGCTTGGCATCACTCCTTCCAGTTTTTTTCTATGAATTCTTTCACTTTATATAATATGTAATATATATATAAAAGTTTGTACCCTGCTTTTGTCACTTAACATTTTAACAATCATTTTATCCTTAAAAAATTAAATACTTATAAGAATTCTTATAATTTCCAGAATATGGACTACCAAGATTTACCTAACCAATCTGTTCTTCTGGGTCATGTAGTTTTATTTTTTAAAAACTTCCCTATTATTTAATAGTGATCATCCTTGTCTATATTTCTGATAATTTTCTTAAAATAGAAACATAGAAGGTGGAATTGTTAAATCCTAAGATATAAACTTTCAAGAGTCTGATACATATAATAAAATTACTTTCTAGAAAGTCTACCAATTTTCATTTCCTCCAACAATATATGTGTGCCCATCAAAACGGAATATTCTTATTTTTTAAACAAATTTTTCTAATGTGGTAAGTAAAACTGCTCTTGTAATAATTTTAATTTATTTGCTTACTAACAAGGCTAATAAGAACATTTATTAGACATCTATATTTGTTAGACATCTATATTTTTTTAATGCAAGGATTACCAAACTATGTCCCATGGGCCAAACCTATCTGGCACTTGTTTTTGTAACACCTGTTTTGTAACACATGCATGCCCATTTGGTTACATATTGGCTATGGCTGCTTTTACCCTACTCCCGAAGAACTGAATAGTTGAATAGTTGTGACAGAGACCACACAGCCAGCAAAGCCTAAAAATCTTTACTATCTGGCCCTTTACAGAATGTTTGCTGACTCATGCTTTAATGATTTGTCTGTTCACATCTTTCTCACATTTTTCTATTGGAATGCTGGTGTTTTTCTTACAGATTGGCAATAGCACCTTATATATTAATGGTTTTTAGTCTTTGTCATACATTTTGCAAGTATTTTGCCATCAGTTTTTTGGTTTTTTTGCTGAGGAAGATTTGCCCTGAGCTAACATCTGTGCCAATCTTCCTCTATTTTGTATGTGGGTTGCCACCACAGCATGGCTGACAAGTGGTGTAGGTCCGTGTTCAGGATCTGAACCCATGAACCCAGGCTGCTGAAGCGGAGCACACCAAACTTAACCACTACACCATGGGGCCAGCCCCCAAAGTCAGTTGTTTTTTAATAAACCTTTCTATGGCATTTTTTTATTGTAGAGAAATTAATAGTCAAATGTATTGATTATAAATATTTTATCCCTCCAATGCTTTTTTCTTGTAATTTTTTATGTTGAAATAATTATAGATTCAAAGGAAGTTGCAAAGAAATGCATAAGGAAGCCCCAGGCACCCTTCCCTGAGCCTTCCCGAATGTTAACACCTTGCATAACCACACTACAATACCAAAACCAAGAAAGTGGCATTGGTACACTCCATAGAGTTTATTCAGATTTCACTAGTTATACATGTACTCATTTGTGTGTGTGTGTAGCTCTATGCAGTATTACTACATGTGTAACTTTGTGTAACCACTACTACAGTCAAGATACTCAACTGTACTATCACAAGACTCCCTCATGTTACCTCTTTAAAGCCATGCTCACTCCTCATCCCTAACTCCTGGCAACTGCTAATCTGTTCTCCATTTCTATAAATATGTTATTTCATGAATATTACATAAATAGAATCATGCAGATTTGCTTTTTTTCTTCAGCATAATTCCTTTAATAATATATAAATAATATATTATTAATTAATATTATTAAAATTCCTTTAATAATAATAACACAAGTTACCATGTGTGTCAATAGTTCATTCTTTTTTATTGCTGAGTAGTGCTCCATTACATGGGTGCTTTGTTAAACCATTCACTCATTGAAGGACCATTTGAATAGCTTCGAGTTCTTGGCTATTACAAATAAGGTATGAACATTAATGTATATGTTTTTGTGTGAACATAAGTTTTCATTTCTTTGGGATAAATGTCCAGGAGTGCAATTGCTGGGTTGTATGGTAGTTGCATATTTAGTTTTTTAAGAAACTGACAAACTGTTTTCCAGAGTGGCTCTACCATTTCACATTCCCACCAGAAATTTATGACTAATAGAATTTCTCCAAATTTTTTCTAGCATTTTGTGTTGTCACTATTTTTTATTTTAGTCATTCTGCTAGGGTATGTAGTGAAATTTCATGGTGATATTAACTTTCATTTCTCTAATGGCTAATGATGCTAAACATATTTGCATGTGTTTATTCACCATTTGTAGATCCTATTCAGTGAAATGTCTGTATATGTCTTTTATCCATTTTCTAATTGGATTGTTTGTTTTTCTATGTTGAGTTTTGAGAGTTATTTAGTCCTCATCCCAGTCAGGACCTAGTTCTAGGTCCTGAAGATGTTCGCCTATGTTATTTTCTAGAAGTTTTATAGTTGTATGTTTTACATTTAAGTCCATGATCTATTTTGAGTTAATTTTTGTATAAGGTGTGAGACTTAAGTCGAGGTGTTTTGTTTTTTTTTTTTTGCCTATGGATGTCCAATTGCTCTAGCAGCAGTTGTTGAAAACACTGTCCTTCCTCCATTAAATGGCTTTTTCACCTTTGCCAAAGATCAGTTGACTGTATTTTGTGCAGGTCTATTTCTGGGTTTCCTTTTCTGTTCCATTGATCTATGTATCTTTGCCTCCACCAATACCACACTGTCTTGCTTACTGCAGCCTTACCATCAGGAAGTGATTCTTCCCACTTCATTCTTCCTTTTCAAAATTGTTTTGGCTATTCTAGAGCATGTGCCTTGCCATTTAAATTTTTGAATAAGCTTGTTTATATCAACAAAAACATTTTGCTGAGATTTTGATAAGAATTGCATTAAAATTATCAATCAATTTGGGAGAGAACTGACATCTTTATTATGCTGTGTCTTCCAATCTATGAACATGATTTGCTTCTCCAAGTACTTAGGCCTTCTTTGGTTTCTTTTATCAGCATTTTATAATTGTCATCATACAGATCCTGTATATACTTTGTTAGATTTACATCTAAATATTTAAATTTCTTTGAAGCAATTGCAGATGGGCATTTTTCATTTTGATTTCTGCATGTTCACTGTAAGTATATGGAAATGCAATTGATTTTTGTGTGTTTATCTTATATCCTGCAACCTTACTGAACTCATTTATTAGTTCTAGGAGTTTTATTGTAGATTACTTGAGGTGGTCTATCTAGACAATCATATATCTGCAAATAAAGACAGTTTTCTTTCTTCCTTTCTAATATGTATGCAATTGCAATTTATTTCTTTTATTGCCTTATTGTAATGACTAGAACTTCTAGAACTGTGTTATATAAGAGTGGTGAAAGCGGATATTAAATAAGAGTGGTGATAGCAGACATCCTTGCCATGTTCCCTATCTTAGAGTGAAAGTGTTCAGTCTCACCATTAAGTTTGATGTTAGCTGGAAAGGTTCTCAACATTACTAATCATCAGGAAATGTAAATCAGAACCACAGTGAGATATCACCTTACACCTGTTAGAATGGCTATTATCAAAAAAGACAAGAGATAACAAATGCTGGCAAGGATGTGGAGAAAAGGGAACTCTCATGCACTGTTGGTGGGAATGTAAGTTGGTGCAGCCACTATGTAAAGCAGTATAGAGGTTCCTCAAAAAATTAAAAATAGAAATGCCTTATGAGATCCAGCAGTCCCTCTTCTGTGCATATGTCTGAAGGAAATGAAATCACTATCTCAAAGAGATATCTGCACCCTCATGCTCATCACAGGATTATTTACAATAGCCAAGACATAGTAACAAACTAAGTGTCCACTGACAGATGAATGAGTAAACAAGATATGGTATATATATACAATGGAATATTATTCAGCCATAAAAAAGAAGGAAATCCTGCCATTTGGGACAACACAGATGAACCTTGAGGACATTATGAGAAGTGAAATAAGTCAGACAGAGAAAGACAAATACTGTCACTTATATGTGGAATCTAAAAAAACCTAACTCATAGAAACAGAGAGTAGATTGGTGGTTGCCAGGGGCTGAAGGCTGGGGGAAATGGGTGATGGTAGTCAAAGGGTGTGAACTTCCAGTTATAAGATGAATAAATTCTGGGGATCCTAATGCACAGCATGGTGATATAGTTAATGATACTATATTATATACTTGAAATTTGCTAAGAGAGTAGATCTTAAATGCTCTCACCACATACACAAAAAAGGTAACTATGTGAAGTGATGGATGTGTTAATTTAGCTTATTGTGGTAATCATTTCACAATATATACAAATATCAAATCATCACATCGTACACCTTAAACTTATACAATGTTATATGTCAAATATATCTCAATAAAGCTGGGAAAATGATTTTATTTATTTATTTATTTATTTGTGAGGAAGATCAGCCCTGAGCTAACATCCATGCCAATCCTCCTCTTTTTGCTGAGGAAGACCGGCCCTGAGCTAACATCTATTGCCAATCCTCCTCCTTTTTTTCTTCCCTTTTTCTCCCCAAAGCCCCAGTAGATAGTTATATGTCATAGTGGCACATCTGTCTAGTTGCTGTATGTGGGATGCCGCCTCAGCATGGCCGGACAAGTGGTGCATCGGTGTGCACCCAGGATCCGAGCCTGGGCCGCCAGTAGCAGAGCACACGCACTTAACTGCTAAGCCACGGGGCCAGCCCCTGGAAAGATGATTATAAAAAGTATGATGTTAGTTATGGATTGCAACAATTTTATTTAAAAAGAAAAATAAAAGGTTCAAAAAATAAATGCTTCCATAGAAAGAAAAAAGGAGAAAAAACTAAAAGAATACCATATTTTGGAGAGAGGCAGACCATTTTTTGCAAAGTAATTGTTCTTTAGAAGAGTACCCCAAATAAGACCAAGTGTCCTGTCCACTCACAAGTGAAAAAGAGTGTGGTTTCATCCAGACGAATAGTCTTTGGCTTGATACCTAAATCCACACTGGCAGTGTCCAGGCTGCGCTGGTGAGTCTTAGAGTTGTAGCAAGATGCCGAGCGGCAGTGGTCTCGAAGCCAGACATAATCAAAGCGCATCACAGTGTTAGCATATTGCAGTTCTAGGGAAAAGATCACATTCTTTTATATTATTTATTATATTATTTTACAAAAATAAAGAAGTATTTATTTAGGAAAACTTAAAAAAAATCAGTAGCCAGAAATCTTCCTTCAAAAAATCTTCTATCAAGAAAGAGCAATGAGGGGGGCACTAGCCCCCTACCAGATATTAAAACATACTATAGAACTTCTATGATTAAAACAGTGTGATGTTGATATAGGTATAGGCAGATTAAACAATGGAAGAGTATAAGAAGTCCATAAATATACCCAAATGCATATAGAAATTTGGTAGGTAATAAATTGGCAGCTATAATCACTGGGGAAAATATGAATTTTTAAATAAATGGTGTTGGGACAACTAGATAGCCGTTTGGAAAAAGAAAAAATTGGGTCCATATCTCATTTTGTCACCAGATCTCCACGATAAACTCAAAATAGATCAGAGTTCTAAATTTGGAAAATGAAACCATTCAAGTATTTAAAAAGGAAACACAAGTGGATAGAGGCTATAAAGGAGGTCCTGGTACTATTCTTGCAACTTTTTTGTTAGTTTGAAGTTATACCAAATAAAAAGTTACCAAAAAATCAAAGACTTTACTACATACACCAGAAAAGGTTCTGAAATGGTGTTCTTGACAAGGAAACAGTATGATAGTGGGTTGAATGTGGCGATCCCAGGGCCTTTTGAAAGAAAGCAAATGGTTTGTCCCTGGAGCCCGCTCTCTGTGTGACACTGGATAGTGTCTGCCTCCCACCACTTTGTAAGTGCCAGGAGGGCCGGGGCGGGATTATTCCCACTCATCATTAAGTCCCTAGCACCAGGACAGGCACGAAGTAGCTTCTTAGGAATGAGGGAAGGAAGGAAGGAACGCAAGAGGCCCTGCACAGTGGAGGGTGAGGCACAAACATGGCGGCTCTGAACCGGCCCTGCTATTTCCCAGCAGGATGACTCAACCAAACCCCTCCTTACTGTCGCTGAGCCTTAGTTTCCTCAACGTGCAAATGGGTACAATAAACACCTCCTCCCCAGGGCCTGCAGAGCGGGGGTTACATCAGGAAAAATGCTCTAGACAAGACGCAAAAAGCTTCGTTTTGTTCTCTAACACGACTGGGAATCAACAAACGTGGAAGATTGCTATGGAGAAATCTATAAAACTATCCTGAAGGACTTACTTGAAGGAAACCTGAATGGAGAAATATGCTCACAGATGGGCAAATTCAATAATGAAAATATACAAACTCGGGAGTGTCTGTCTGGAAATTTTCATGTTCTGGATAGGCTAATTCCAAAATTCATATTCAGAATTAATAAAGTAAGAATTTTGAAAAAAGAAGAAGAAAGGCATGAGGGGTAAATATAAAAGTTATATAAAAATATATTATAAATCCATAGTCATTTAAAAAGTATGGTATTCATGCAGAATAGACAAACAAGTCAAGGGAACACAACAGAGTCCCAAACATATTCATAACAGTGGAGAAAAGATGGATTATTTAATATCTAGTTTTGGAAAAATCAATATTTGAAAAAATTGGTTCTGTATTCATATCATTCAAAACAATAAATTACTGATAGATTAAAATAGAAAAAATAAAACTGTTATATGTTAACAACCTTGAGGTGGGAAAGGCCCTTTTAATATGACAAACTAAAAAAAATCAACTTAAAAGACAAGTAACAGGAAAAATATTTTTAACATAAAAGGATTAATACTCAACATATAGAATAAATGCCTATGATTATTAAGATAAAAACTCAATAGAAAAATAAATGAAAGATGGGAAATTCACCAGAAGTGACCAGTAAACACATGAACCCACTCCCCTCACCTTAATGGCAATCAGAGAAATGAGTATTAAGATACTATTTTTTATCCATCAGAGTGACAAAATTTTAAAAGTTTGATTAAAACAAGTGTTTTCAAAAGATATGGGGAAATGCATACTCTCAAACTTTGGTAGTGGGAGTATAAATTGGTGAAGCCACACTGGATGGCAATCTGGAAGTTTCTATGAAAATATTAAAAAATATGTATATTTATTGCTTGACCCAGGAATTCATCGTTCAGTATTTACCTGCTAGAAACTGTCACATATGTGGGGTGTGCACAAGGATATTTATAATCGTGTTTATAATAACAAAAATTTGAAAATAAGACTAAATGTCTATCAGTGGGGGAAATGGAGGAATAGCTGAATAAACTGTGGTATATCTACATTATGAGATACTAGGCAACAGTTTAAAAAAATGCAGTATAGCTGAATTCCTCAAATTGATTTTGCATGGTATTATCATTCTCACTTTAAGGACAAGGAAACTAAAGCTCACAGATGTCAAATAACTTTGTAAGATCATATAATCACTAGGTGTTGGAGCTAGGACATGCACTCAAGTAGTCCAATGCCAAAACCCACTACACTAGTGTTTCTCAAAGTGTAGCCTTGGGAATCTCTGAAGGTGAGACTTTTGGAAAGGCAGAATAAGGAGCCTGGCAAATTCTCTCCCTCAATAACAATGATAAAACTAGATAAAATTATCAAAAACAACCATTTTAGGACTCTGGAAATTGACCAAAGGCATACAACAAATCAAGAAGCATTTTTCCCAGAGAAAACTACTGACCTTGGGAAAGAACAGTAGGAATCTATGTGTTTTAGCTTAGGGTGTTCCTACTCCCTACTCCCACCCCTCTCCGCCCACCAGCTCCATCAGGACTAGTTCTACCAGTGCAGGCAAGCCAAGAATACCAGCAGCTTTGCTGCTGAAGGAGACTAACTTGATTTGGAGTAGAGCACATAAAAACCCCACGCTCCTGGGTCTTGAAAACAACCAGGGAAGGCATACTGGTTGGGGCAAGCAACAGACCAACAGAACAGCCAGAAATCTAACAAGGGGATCAAGGGAATGAGACAGTTATAGCGGGCCTTGGAAAGCCTGCTCATATCCCTGGTGTTCAGTAAGGCTGTGCACACATGCAGGGCTGTGTGCATACTCAGGAGAGACTGGAAAGGGCCCTAGTTATCTACACGGCCCTAGGAGAATGTGAGGCCTTGTGCAAGCACAAAGACGTGAAGAAGGGCAAAAAGTAAAAACCATGGCAGACTTATAAACAGCCTAAACTTTGAATGTGTGCCCCAATTCACACAAATCCATAGGCGAAAAGAATGGAAGCCTTATCGGTTCAAGGTTTTTAAGCATAACCATTGACCAATTGTTGGCTGGCCACTAAGCTATACCAGGGTTTCTCAACCTTGGCACTATGGACATTTAGGGCTAGATAATTTTTTGTTGCGGGGCACCGTCCTGTGCATTATATGATTATATGATGCTTAACAGCATCCCTAGTCTCCATACACTATATGTCAGAAGCATCCTTCTCCCCAGCTGTGACAACTAAAAATGTCTACAGACATTGCCAAGTGTCACCTGGGGGGGCAAAATTGCCCCCTGTTGAGAACCACTGAGGTATGCTGACCCCAATACCTAAGAGGTCACAGGTTTAATAAAAGCAAAAAGTAAAAATAAAACCTGAGCAGAGACAGCAGTGGCTACACACTGTATGGGAAACAGATTCCACAGAATTACTCCAGGCAAGTCAGTAAACAAACAAATACACAAAAACACAGCAGTAATCCCTCTGGAGAGGTCTGAAATTAGTTTCTATAAGATATTATCTTAAATGTCCAGGTTTTCAACAAAACAATCATGAGACGTAGAGAAATAGAAAAGTGTGACCCATGCACAGAAAAAAAGCAGTCCACAGAACATATCTGAGAAGAATATTACATGAAATCCTATTGTCTAAGTCAGGCATGCAGCTTAGAAGGTAACCTATTACCTGGGGAAAATGACTTTCCCTTCTAACAGCCTTAGGCTTTACAGGAAAGAAGCAAAGTGGACCACTGGGGCATCACCTCCATATACCTATATCATCTCCTAGTTATGAGTCAACAGTTGGTCTTTGAGTCACTTTGTGATGATACTCACGCCTTATAAAAGCATCTGTGCCTTCAAGGCATATCCCAATTGAATGCTTGAAAATCCAGAAACTGAAGTTAATTGAGTCTCTGATGTAACAATTGCTGATACTGTGGAATGGGGCTATTTATTTGGTGGTGAGCTAAAGTTGGAGTTCTTGACCTAGGATCCATGGAATTTCCATGGGATCCATAACCTAAAAATATTGAGAACCATACCTATGGAGTGACAGAGGTGATTAAGTACCACCAACCCTCATTCAGATTGGTCATTGCACTGAGATAATCCAGGGTTTGACAAACTACAACCTGTTGGCCAAATATAGCCCATGGTCTGTTTTTGTATAGGTTGCAAGATAAGAATTTTTTTGTACATTTTAAAAGTGTTATGAAACAAACAAACAAACAAAAAACAAATAAGACCCGGCAACAGAGATTGTACATGGCCCGCAAAGCCTAACATATTAGACCCTTTACAGAATGTTCATCCTCACCTTCTCATCCCCTTCCCCTGCCTAATTCATATTCATTACTCATGACTCAGCTCAGTGGTTATATCCTGTAGGCAATCATTTATAACTCTTCAGGTTGGATTAGGCACCTCTCCTCTTTGTTCTTACAGCACCCTATATACTGCCTAAAAGCATTTATCACACTGTCTTATAATTATCCATGTGTTTGTCTTTGCCACAAGACTATGAGTATCTTGAGGATAGGAAGTGTGTCTTCTTCATCACTGCATGCTTAGCACTTACCACAATGCCTGGCTCCTGGTACGTGTTTATTAAATGTTTGTTGAGTAAATCAATGAGCAGTGGTGAAGATGCCTTATTGGTAACTCCAATACAGGTCACACATCAGAAATGAGAAGGATCCTCTTATCAAAACTATGAATGATCTTTTTCTGCCCTATTAGATATCCAGTAATCCTGGCTACTACCTGCTATATCCTATTTTCAGGTTAGGAGTTGCTAGGCACATACAGTACAGTAGGGGAATAATTTGTACCATATGGCTAGAC